AAATTTGACTACAGAGGAATGTTTAGCAAATTCATGCACAATGTTCGAATTTATTTGAGTTAAACTAAAGGTAAGATTACATCCCAAAAGAAATTCTGTTATCATTCCAAGTGATCACAGTACGTTGATTTCATTGAACATTAAATGAAGAAACAATGGAGATTTTTCATTGTACTAACCATGGTAGTCATGGGCTGGATACAGCAAGTAGTCCTCAGGAAGTGATAAGATTTTGCTTGTTACTGAATCATATAGCTTTACAGGGCTTCCTAGAAAAAGCAAAACAACGACACTTTAGCAAAGAGACTGGACAGTAAGAAGAGAAAGGGTATGTGAGCCACTTCTGAGAAGGTGGTAGCTAACCAGCTAATTAGTCAAAAAATGGCTTGATTAAAGACAAGTGTTGAAAAACTTAACTCATTCAGTCCTAATCTTTTCACCAAAAATCACATTTTTAACTAACGGTTGGGTATATGAGAAAATAGAGACAAAACTCAAACAACCACAAATGCATATTACATGTATCAGTGTAAAAGTAGTTACAGCTTCCTTTTGATTAATTTTTAAACAGTCAGATAAAACTGTGGGCTAATCGACGAGAAAAAAAGATAGTCAAGGGCACTTTTTCCCCCCATTATCCTTCATATAGCAGATGAAGCCACAAGTGGCAGGAATTGTCTTTTAACACGGCTTGCTAGTCAACAAGTGTGACTGGTAAGTCAGTACAGTACAGTACAGTTTAATCCATTAATAAGTAATCTCGTTTCTATGGAGTTGCATGCATTGATGACTACAGTTTGTCTTTTGACACGGTTTACTAGTCAACAAGTGTGACTGATACATTACAGTTTAATCCTCTAATCAGAAATCTTGTTTTAGAGTTGCATTGACGACTACGCGGTCAACCAATGCAGTGAAACCACTCTTGCATACACCACTTTGTCTGTTCAATAGGTAGATTTAATAGTTTTGCGATACAGGTAAAATTTACCATTTGCATGTAAGTCCGGCCAACCTCTCCCATGGGAGTAAAGTGACGGGGGTGCTCGTTGTACCTTTTAGGGGTTTAAATTTGTGGATTGGTACCACTTAGAGTGCTAATACCTGAAATGACTGCTGCCAGATAAAGATTTATGACAATACTTTCAAAGAGTTCAAAAGTTATATCCTTATTACTATTAAAATTTGCAGTGCCAATTACATAATTTTTTGTTGTTAAATTGGTACCTCTTTATAGGGGTGGAAATGAATTTCGGACACGCCCATGAGACAAGATTCTGGTACCTTTTAGGGGTGTTCTTGAAATTTTCCGACGAGCAGCCCCTTCACTTTTGTAGGGGAGTACCCCCAGGAAATTTTGGACAAACTTGGGTATTGCATGGTGTAAAGAGGTTCACTTCTTTGGTCTGTGCATGTTGTGGGAGAGTGAAAAAAAAAATGCCTTGGCAAATATATATAAGTTTATGAAGTAATCGCCCAACCCAAAGAGATTCAAAACATGTTACCCACTCAACTTGGGATTAGTATAACTGCAACTAGACAAAACAGTTTTTCTCTCACCCTGTTGAAAGTCTGTTCGCCCACATGCTCTTATGAGAAGAGCATCTCCAGTGAAAGCTGCTCTGTTGATATGATCCACGTACGTTAGACATCCTAAAACCCACCGCAATGTGTGTGAGAACCAACAACTGAGCAAACAGGTTACATCGTACAGAAGATCAACTTACACTTTGAGGTTAAGAGAAGGTGTTTTAAGGGTGGTGAATGGTAAAATCAGAGAGACGCCGAGACGCCTTGAGATCCTAGTTAGAAATCCGAGCCTGAGACTCTTTGGTAAAAGTTTTGAGACTCAAAAAGGTAAAAACAAACCATGCAAACACGAGATTTGAGACTTGTCAAAAAACGCTTCTGAGATTTTGAGATCCTGCCAAAATTTTCCGAGACCCACGTTTTCAAGGTACCATTTGCAACCCCTTGTTTTTAAAATCAGATTTGTCATTTACTCAAACTTATGTTTTAATAGACATTGTACAACTGTAATATGCACACTGTGACTCAGGGTATGAACACTAATTTAAGTGTGCATGATTTTAAAAAACTTTATTTGTAAAACTTGCCATCAGTATGTCCTGGAGTTGAACGTACATCAAGAGCCTAAAAAATAAGTTTTTAAAATTAACTTAAATACACCTCCTGTATTATTTTTTTTAACCATGGTTATGTTGGTGAAGTCAAGAAGAGAAAGGTGAGAAAGAAGTTGTTGATAGAATTCAATTGGACAAAATTCTTGACCTTAAAAAATATTTCTAAATAATCAGGTGACATTATGATGGAAACTGGATTATCCAGGAGAGTTGACAGCTTTGCTTATAAATAGCACTTTTATCAATGTCTTTTTAGCAAACCTGATCTCCAAAGTCAACTGTATCTCCTTCATGTACAAACACATCAGCTTTAGCACCACTCAGCTTAGAGATAACACTTTTGCAGCCTGTGAGACTCTTAAGAATTCCTGTACCAGTTACATGATCAGCATGAACATGTGTGTTCACTGTGGGGAACAAACAAATTTCTGTTTATCAGTTTTATGCTGTTTACTGGTACCATGTCACTGAAATTGTAAGACACAAATTGAAGTTATTTTCACTAATATTAAACTAAGTTGACAATCAATCAATTAAAAATAAATAGTACATCCAGGAGTCACTTGGCCTTAAATTCAGATTCACATCCTACTGCACTACATACTTGCATATATCAGTTTGAGGTCCAACTCTTTGAGTATGCGTACATCCCTCTCAGCCTGACAAAACCAAGAAATCACCAAACAGTCATAAATCATGTATTACATTTTTAACATTTTTTGGTAGTTTGGAGGAATCATGCAAAAGAAATATTCTATCAATGAATTGCTGCTTGGCTAAATGGTCTCTTTCCTTGCAAATAGCAGAGTCTCGATCCTTTTTCTTTTCTGAAAAAAAAATACATGGAAACAAAGGTCGATAAACTATACTCAAGTTGTGGTCAACTCTGTTCAAACCATTGTCCTCATAAAAATATGAACCTGCAAAAATTTTGTGCCACACAGCATATAGAAATAAAGAAATTCACCATACTCAGAGTTGTAGTTAAACCCTGCTCTAACCTTTTTTCCACAAAAAAGGTTCAGGGTTTCTGCTAATTCTGGTTCATTAATGGCTGTTAAGATTTAAATTCACAATAACCTTTTACTGAGCCCTCAAAGAAAATATGCCCGTCGTTTATTTTCATCAGAATTAGGACATTTCTAAGGGGGATGATCATGAATGTATAATGTACCAACCTGAGTATCAACTGGGTCAATAATAACAGCAGCTCTTGTCTTGGGGCATCCCAGTAAATATGTGTAGGTGTAGGACTCTAAGTCAAATAGCTAAAAAAAGAACATTGCCAAATAAACACTTGTCTGCCTTATATCTCTATGAATTAAACTGTCAAGTAGAAATAATAATAATAGCGGAGCTCCATGTGTGCACAAAGTGCGTGCAAGAAGAGTCCCCAGCTAACAAAAATTTTGTTATCCATCCATCCAAGAAATTTTGGTGGTCACATGACTGTCCATCCAACCATCCTGCCTGCACTACAGGAAACCAATGTGAAATCTCAGGCTTCCTAGCTATATAGTGTGGTAGCCTGCAACCTGATATTGCACATCCATGTTGTGGCCAATTGACAGCTGTCAAAACAAGGTTTCCACTGACAAGTATCACAAGACCATATCGCAGGCTCAGGTATAGACCCATCGAGGTCAGTTTTTTTTTTTTTTGAGTCATCCACTGACAAGTTACTAGTTTTCAAGTGATGGCAGGCTCTACTCCAACTGGATTTCTTTTCTTTTATTTATGGGAGGTTCACTTTTAGCCTTGGGTAAATCTCTCTGTTGTCGTCCAATTTTATCCCTGGTTTAAATTTTATTTTCCTTTGTTTTTGGGTTACTATGTACAAAAGGAAATAGAATTTTAAGCCACAGATAAAATAAAATTTATTGAACCACAACATATATATAATTTTAACTGTATTAAAAGTGGGTAAGTGACAGAAACATAAAGGCCACCTGTCCCATCCAGGAGGCTCCCAAATATGGCATAAATCTCCTGGATAAAATTGAATTTTGAGCTTTTCCATGCTGTCCTATGGAGTTCCGCCCATCTCACCCACAAAGCGAATCATGGCAATTTGTACAGCATGTAAGATTTTCATACAATGTCTTGAGTCCATGGGGCTGGGCTGATTTGTGTTTAGGTGGGGGAGGGGTGGTTGATGGTAGTGAGTACTGTTAAAGAGACAACCTTCAGATTTTTGACGTCCAAAGGTATCTATAAGAACAATATGAGTTCTGCATTCTGATCAGCTTCCGCTCAAAGTCCCATAAAAAAACTTATCTTCTTGAATTATATACGCTTAGATTTGCCCACAGGGCCCTTTGTGTTCGATTTGGTTGGTTGAAAACAACAAAATTTTTTCAAAACAAAGAACATCCCACGTACACACCCCCAGCTTTGGTTTTATCTGTTTACTTGTTCATATGTCACAAAAGAATCAGATTCAAAGTTAAGTGAAGAAATAATTATTAAGCCTAAACTTATATCAGAAAAAAATGTAAACTTGCAAAAATTATCGACTCTTCGAAAGAGCGTGACATTTCACACGATCCTCGCTAGTCCGCAATCGAGATTATAATTATTGATTAACCAGCGAAGAATAAGTCATTTAAAAGCCATGGCACGTCTTGTTATCTCACCCAATCTTTTTAAAATGACCATATGTTTACCTGACGAAAGATCGCTCTTGCCTTGCTACCAGCCATAACAATCTTTTGTCCCTTCAACTCTTATTCGCCGGCTTCCTGCTGCTATCGACTATTTATCGACTTGTAACTTGTAGTTTCATCAGCTTGGCTCCAGTCCTCTCTCCGGTTCTCCAGCCTCCAAAGCATCAGGGGAAGCATTCCTTCCGCCAAGATGGCGGCAGGGTTGGTTTTTGTCAAAATTGTTTTGCTGTGTACATTTGCAACCCTGACGAGGACACAAAGTAACAGGACAGTCTTTTCACCATCCTCATCCTCAGGTAACTCACACGAAAGCGTTTTGGATTGGTGTTTTCAAAAATGCGCGAGTTTATTATGCGTGATTTCTGTTCCTGCATTAGCATGTCAACTCATAGACAAACATATGCATTTGTCCTTGTCATGTACATGTGGAATTTACAGAAACCGGTCGTTTCGCCAATGGTCATTTCGCAAACGTCTCTGGTCAGTTTTCAAACGTGTAGAAGTCAGTTCACAAACGTCCAGCAGTCACTTCGCAAACGTTATTTACATGTCAACCTGTGTTTTAACAAAACGGTTCAGAATACGGTCAGTGTAAAACGCAGACTGCGGACTGCGGACCAGGGGTAAAATGCAGACTGAGTGTAAAATGCAGACTGCAGACTGAGGGTAAAACACAGGTTGCGGTAAAATGCAGACCGAGCATAAACTGTAGTCTTGAAAGGGTTTAAGGGCAAAAAAATCCCCCAAAATACATGTAAACGAACACTTACTTGACGACATCTGCTTTCACAAATCCATTCCTTTCTTCTCTGGAACGTCGTCGACAACCCGAAAACATAATCGCAATCTTGAACCTTTTTTTCCGTCCGAGAGACTTCACGCTTCAACTTCAGATGTGAAGTTTTCGATGTACGTGACCAGGGACCGTGAACTGGTACACCACGATGTTTACGCCTAAATGAAAGCTGCTGACCCAAAATACTGTACAGGAAGAATTATGGCGATACAAAGGGAGTAAATCATTCCAACAACAAAGAAAGATGTTCTGCAGGAAATTTGTATGACCTTCTATGAAAGTATTGCAAATCAAGGTACGCAGACTTAAGCTGTTCGGATGTTCATTGAAACTTCTGGCGAATGTGCAATTCACTTCGGTTAGGAAGCGAAGTGTGTTACTGATACCGGCTACCTATTTCACCAAATTGGAGAAGAAGGAGCACAAATGTTTAAAAAAGTCTACATTCTTTATTCTGCATTTTGCACCCAGCGAGCCTTTTACTCTCAGTCTGCAGTCTGCATTTTACACTCAGTCTGCATTTTACCCCTGGTCCGCAGTCTGCAGTCTGCAGTCCGCAGTCTGCGTTTTACACTGACTGGTTCAGAATACTATATTTTGCGTAAATTATTGGGTGTGAAATTTCACATTACAAACATTTACATGACAACTATACGATTTAGAATACTACATTACATGTTGTATGTGTAAATTATTGGGTGTGAAGTCTCACAGCTGATTTCATGCTAAAGAATATTTCATAATCAAATGGGCACTGGAAGACTCACCACACTGACTACAAGCTGATTGGATACAAACAGACCGCCATTTTGAAGTTGCTTTATTCAAACCCAGTCCTTTAGGATGATTGTTCATTCCACTCGTGCACATGTGTGTGGTTTGGCACGAGTTTTGTTTCATACAGCTCACCTTATAGAAAGCACGCACGTGCTATTGTTATATTAATAAGAATTAGTTGTCACCTATTTAGTGGAAAACGACAAATCAGTGGTGCCGTATCTAATCAACTACCAATCACATTGCTGTTATTTTGATCTGCTGCCACTGGGCACTACAGTATAAAAAGGGCTGCGAATTCTGTTCATTTCATTCAACGTACCTTCTCGGTATAGTCATTCGACAACTTGTCACTCTGTGTCACTCGGATCGCCCACATGTCCCTGCATGTAAAAGGTATATTGTAATTTGAATGAATCGGTTAAGTTAATAGTAGTTGATGCCACTTGCTTTTTTTGCTCAGAATTTGAAAATGTCTGTATTGGGGGGGGCTGTCACTCGAACAGGCCACACTTCCCTGCATGTAATCCATTTTAAGTGTAAGCAATAAATATGTTTGTGTATTACAGCAACTTTGTTTAAACATTCCTTTAACAGCTTAGACTTGCTCACAAGTCGAGCTCAAAATTTCCTCGATGGCAAAACACGAGCGGGAGATATTTTACATTTTGCGGTGGCCAAAACGAGCGATAGGGTGGAAGGTACAGTGTACCACCGCAACTGGAAATGGGAAGTGAAGGACATCGAGACTTTCAATGTATGACACTTAGCAACCATGTTAATATTTTTAACTATTCTTGGTCATAATAGTTATGGACCTTCCTTCAAAGAGGCTTCTTTGCACCCCATCTTTACTGTGCTTCAACTCAACAACAACAAAAACAAGAGTTTGCACAGATAATTCAAAAGTGTTCGCTGTGCTTGTTAAAAGTTATCTTTAATTTAGCCCTTGGCTTTGAATGCAGTAAAATTTAGACTTAAATCACTGGTTGAATAATAGGTTGTACATGTGATTTGACTGGCAATGGATGTGATGTGAACTGCTGTTGTGATCCTGATTGTACGAGTGCAGATCAACAGGCATTTACAGAATGCAAGGATACAGATACAAAGTAGGTTTCATTTCCATATCTTTAGAGTTCTTGTTTTGTGAGACATTGTACTTAATAATTACATTGTACCTGTACCATCTACATATGTATGTATACTTAGATAAAGTTGTGTGGAGAAGAGAAATATTTTTTAATTTACAAGTAGGTCCATCAAGGTTTTGCTCTTTTGAGTCCAGCTAGAGGTAGTTTATTAATATTTTGACATATCACAATTGCATATTGCTGAAAGCCAGAAATTGTCTTTCCTTTTTCGGGATTACCTTTAGGTTAAACCCCTCCAAATCTATGTTTCCGCTGGTTTAATTGGCCTTCCTCGAGAAAATTAAGAAAAAAAGTCAATGTAGTCTACTGGCATTCTTGTTGAGGCTATTAGTGACAGCCCTGGAAAAGGAAAAAAAGCATTTTGTGGCAAGTGGTTTGGGGAACAAAGTTCATGGGTGCAGTCGTAGTTTTAAAATTATGTAGATGCACTTAGATGCACCTTACAGCTGTATGTTTGGTTTGATCGAGTTTAAATCTCCATGTGAGGTTTTTTGTACCTTTTTCACTTTTGGCTTTACCTTGCAGCCGTGATGACCGTGTTTGTCTCTCCAATGCAGCCCTCTTCACCTTCAGACAAAACACACAATTTAAAACAGAAACTACTGGTTCTGGCCTCTTCTGTATTATTAGGGATAACTGTAAGTTGTGAAATATTTCCTCAATTAAATGGCTCTTTCATTACAGTTGACTCCCGATAACCTGACCCTCGCTAACTCAAACCTCAAGCTAACTTGAACCAAAGTTGATTTCCCCCTGGGTTTCCTTCATACATTTACATTTTCTGTATTTTACTCTCGGTAACCAGAAAACTTGATGACTCGAAGTAATTTTTGTTTCCCTTATACAATTTCTATATAATTTTACCCTTGATAATTTGAACCATGTTTTAAGCACGTGACAAGTCGCAAAAAAAAACAACAGTGTACAGAATTTCAAATCATTGAATTTATTTATAAACAACAGTCTTAATTCGTTGTTACTTTTAGGTCAACCTAGTTCAAATTCATTGTAACCATCCCTGTATATTTATAGCAGAGCTCCACCCACGCGCGCGAGCAGAGCCCCATAGCTTAAGTAAATTTGGTTACCTATCCATCCAAAAAAATTTGGTAGTCACCTGACCATACTCGCGTCTACCCGTCCGTCTGCACCACAGGCTCACCAATATAAAATAACTCAATCATCAGGTATGGAAACCCAAATACAGCTCGGGGTTTTATTTGGAAGGAAATTGCTTGAATCTGCGTTTTGTTTTTTTCTGGCCTGTATGAATTTTAAAAAAGGGTTTTGTGATTCTCTTTTTGCAACAACCATGTTTCCTGCCTCTATCCATTAACATTATTATATCAGAACATCTGAGGGGCAACTTTGCCTTTTACACCTGGCATTTATTTGGACTTGCAGCGTCAATTTAATTGAGAAAGTAAATGTTTAGTATACAATGTACTGTTCGGTATTTAATACATGATGATCCCTGTATTGCATACTATCAGGTGCATTTATTTCAACCAAACCACCTTGTTATCTACTTTGCAAGCTCACTTGTTATAGCATAGACGTGTGTCTTCTTTGCTCAAGCAAGGAAAACATCTATAAGTATAATTTACAGGAAGGGAAGATATTATTCACTTACTACATACTGTGTATCCTTAAACAAATTGAATCAGTGTCCTGTGTACAATAATTTAATTAATAAACATGTAGTTCAAGGCTGAATTAATTGGATTAATGGAGAAAACATCAAGTGTCACTTACATGCAGTGAATTTACATGTTGGTATTGTACATTGAAAGTAATATAATATTATGGTTTTCTTCAAGCACAAATGAGAACATGCCCATTTTTTTTCTAGTTAGCTTGTTACTGATTCATTTACAGTGTTAAGTTGCAGTATTCATTCACGTATCTGAGCGGGTACGTTGTTGTTCTCTAGGTGTCAGGGTTTTCAATCCTTTTATGCTTTGATAAATTGATGCAAGATGACCACTCACGCTAGGTGATAAAACTTTATAATTAATTTTTTGTGTTTCACTCTGACACAGATGGAGGACCGTAGATTCTTATGAAACTAACCCTTCTTTTAATTTGTGATCTATCAGATGAATCTCGTAACTTCTATAATGATGTTCAGACTGCCAGTACAAGTGAGGAGTTCTCCAATCTCAAAAGTCAGTCAGTATCAGCTGTGTATGATTATCGCAGTGAAGGCACAGGCCAGACAACTGCAGCTTCATCATATAAGGTGATTACACTTGCATGTATTACTCAGACACATATTCAAATTTTAGCACCAAACAAAGGGGTGGGGTGGGTGCCTATAATAAAAGGGCTACAAGTAAGTGATTGGGCTACTACCTTCTGTAATTCTATCAACTGTCTACTTCAGTGTTATAATTGGATGGAGTTTTTGTTATAATCTGAACAATCAAGGTGTGTTTCCCTTAACTTTAATAAATACTCTGGATATCAGAAAAAATGAATGTAATAATCAAATTGTTTTAGTTTATACAAAGTTATTGCAAAATGCATTGCCATTCAGAAACACAGTTTATTACATTTGTCCTTTTCCAAATAGATTAAAAAAACGGAAAAGTGGAGATTGCTCTTAAAATATCATGCATTGCATAAATGTCACCTACAAATGTACATTGGCTGCGATAGCCACTAAAAAAAAAAAAAGCATAAGGAGTACAGTGTGCAAATTATTGTATAGTGATGTAAGATACTAGCCTTGACAAACATTTTGTTTATTTGACTGCGAACAAATGATGGTTTTTACATTTTCTGTACTTTACATTAGCAACATTTTAGCCGATAATGTCTGTATTAATGAAACAGAACAGCAAATGGACTTGTAACAGTACCTTCTCATGAACAGATTGTCTCAGGTAACTGTACAGGTATACCTGTAACAGAAAGCTATAGTGTTACATTTACAGTAGATCACTGGTACAGTATACAATGTACTTGTCCTTGTATCATCTTCTAGTAGATACCAATACACTGTACAAGTACAACTGTATCCATTGGAAGCTTGTTCTGCAATCCCACTGGTTCTAAAAATGCTTTTTATTTTCCTTTTGACTAGGTCTGTCACTTAGATTTCAAGTTTGTGTATGCAAAAATTAGGCAAGAAGTTGAACAGCTGCTAAGTTCTTTATGTTCTATTTTCCTTTTGTTTCTTTTCAAATTAGCAGCTGGTTGTGCTCACGGCTAAAACCCAGTCCCTGGCCCTTAGTGAAAGCCCTTCCTTCATTCCCTTTGTACTACAGTAACTATGTCTTGTTGGTGAACGTCTTTTCATTAATTTCAGGTGGGTGATCCAGTGCTTCTTTTGTTTAACAATGGTGCAAAAGGATTCCTGTCTTTTCCCAAGCCACTGTTTGGAAGTGAATGTAATGACAACAATCCGGCAGGTGTGTACAGAGTTATTCCTTTTGTTTTAAACACCATCTCTCATTATTAATAACTACATGTATAATCAGATATTGAGGAATGCAGTGGTTTAAAATACAGCTGTATATTGTACCAGCGGGGCTTGAAAAAATAAAATAAATAAATAAATTCAAGCACTTCCTCTGTGTAAGTAGCTCTCACATTTTGCATGCCTGGGGCAACCACTTTCTTGTTTTAGTTAACCCTTTAAACCCGAAGATCAAAATTTGAATTCTCATTTGTTGCCCCCATTCGTTTCCTACAGAATTAGTGGGAAGAAGTTGATAAAATATCAATCAAATTCATCTTGTGTGACCATGTCCGTAATTCTCATGACCACTCTGTCTTAGAGAGCATAGATATTACAAGGAGAAATTTGATGCTGATCACTGTTAGGGCTTTTAATGATTTAATTGCAATTGGATGATGACTTGCCTGGACCCTCACCCATCGAGCAAGTAACCTTTTAAAGTTACTGGCCCAGCAAAAAAATTTTTCAAGCTCTGACCAGCAGGTGGTGAAGATACACCTTTCATGATCATTGAGAGGAGTGTAAACCTTTTCATAAGGCCCTCAACTGCTGTTTAATAGACCTTTTCACCGTTTTTGTCAACCGTTGACATGGACAAGTTCAAGAAAATCTGTTGACATCACTGAAAAGAGCCTCTTAAAATTAGTAAAATTGCCAAGTTTGAAAAAGATTTGTTGAAAGCTAATGAAGATACAGCTCCTCAAAGTTGCAAAATTTTACAGACATTTGTATGGCTCATTAATTTTATTTGTCAGGATATCGCAAGGACAATAGCACAGAATGTACTAGAAGCATTCCAGTGCTTTCCTCAGCTTGTAATAAGACACTTCCAACAATCAGTGCTAGAAGCTATTATGAAGGATTCACAGTGGCAAAGGTACAGTTACTGAACACGTGTGTGACTGATTTTAGAAGGAAAGAATTACTTTAGCTATCCAGCTGGAAGGTTGTTTTAAGGCCACAGTTTGAATCATTCATTCATGGGTTGCCAATAAGAGCAAAGCTGTGATTGGATGAGTGACTGTACCATAAAGGTGGCAGAAATAATTTCCAGAAAATAAAAGCCGAAAACTGATGGTCAAAATATGGGGAAAGGAATGTGGTTTGACTATCGGCAGCCAACTAAAAAAGCTAAATGTAGTTGTTTATGTGTAGTGATAGTGTGGTGATACATGTGAATACATTTTCCTAAAAAAATCACTGAGTTCAATTTGGCCAATTGCTTTTTTATGTTATTGTGTTTGTTCGTTTATGTCAGATTATGTGTTGTAAACTTGTGTGGCTAGTCTATAAAATCCTAAATTAGGAAGTTATATATACTGTAATAATGTTATACTGAATATATGGAACATTGTTAAGTTCTGTTAAGCTCAGTATTATTATTTGTTCTAATTCATACAGAATCCTGGAGTTCTAAACAATAATTCGACCAATAATTCAACCAGTAATTCAAGTTCCTCTGCCAGCACTCCTGATTTTGTACCTGTGGTACTGAAACAGCCTTTAAAGTGTACAACATATCTTGGTATACCTCGTGACTGTCCATTCAGTGTGCCTCCGTACCCCACCTATAATGCAGATAATAAGACCTGCAATAATGTGGTGTTGGAGGTGAGGAGAATGTCACTACTAACTTTTATTCACTTTACAAGTTTTCATATGATTCGTTTTCTTCTTTTGCTCTGGCTTTGTAATCATCATTAATGGTAAATAATACTATACACTATGCTACTGTGGTCCTGATTTTCTGGAAATAATATTTTTATGAAAAGAGATCAAAACTGTTTCCTGATTCCAGGACCAGGGGCCAATTTGTTCTGATGTTGGCATTTAGGCAAATGGCCTCAAATTTCTCTCTTATACATGTAGAGTCACAGAAAGTAAGTACCTGTAGGAACAAACAGTACTAGGTGTAATATTACATACCATTACAGTGGAACCCCACCTTACGGCCACCTTGGCAATGAGGTCACCAATTTTTTTTAGGCTGCATGGCAAAATGGCCACACATTTTCTTGTAAAAAAAACTCTCATTAATATGGTCACCTGTTAATACGGCCAAATTTTTTTGGCCCATTGGTGACCACACTAGTGGAGTTCCACTGTATTGGTTTTTTGACCTCCATAATTTAAATTCAATAATATTTGCATGTAACACCACATGAACACTAACATACTCATGGCAGGGGGGGTATACATGTTATGAGGCTTAAGTGCAAAGAAAGTAGTGTCTTATAGCCCGCTGCTGAGTGGATTTTACTATCAGGCTAGTGAATTCTGTTCTTGACTTAAATGCCCAACTAGCCAGTGAAGTTTTTGGGGAATTCAAATTATATAATAAATGTAATCAATGCTGCTCATCGAAAAAGTTTTCAGGCTAATTAAAATGACTGTTGGGCTAGTACACTAGCTACAGTTTACACTGTACTTGAATGGCAAGCTGTAAAATTGATTGAAATTATTTAAACCCTGAGACTGCAGCTGTATCTGTATTTGTTAACATAATTTCTAGTGGCTTTTTACAGTCAGTTGTTGGCTTGCCTCTAATAACTGGTGTCTTTGTTGTTTT